GGGGGCGGGGGTGGTTAGTGGTTTCATCGTCACGCAGTGAGTTCCACATGCCAGTCCGAAAATTGAGCCCTTATTATGACCATTCTACCATTGTCTGTAAATTGCCACCCCCCCACCCCCACCCAAAATATCATTAAATTCCAGTAGATGAATCAGTGTTGCGACGGTATGTATGAAAGTGACATCAAACTCCTCACTCAAGCTCCTTCTCTGTCTCTGTCAGAGGTGATCATCTGGAACAACTTTGCCACACTCGTTTTCATGTTCCTTTCGATTACGGGGCATCTGGGCCGTGCTTTGATGCCCCCCCCCCACACACACACACATGCACCCAAGCACCGCAACACACCCATCCTCGCTTCTTTTGTCAGTGTGTGCAGTGCTTTCTGGTAATTAACTTTGTCCTTCTTTTATTTGTTCCAGTCACTCGCAGTCCACTCTTCTGAGCATCTTCTCCCTGGAGTACCAGGTTAGAACTTTTCTTCCTTTGTGAGCCCTGACAGGTGCCTAATTGAATGATGAATGTCCCTTTATTTCTTTGTAATTGAACTGCCAGCTCTCTGATTGGTTTGGAAGATGCCCCGCCATATCCCCCACCTGCACCTTGCCAATTTACACTCGTTTATATCACCCACCTCCTCTTCCTCACGTCGACGCCACTTGCCTGCCCGAGCCTCGGTGGATGGCTGCCAAGACTCCCCATCCATCTGTCTAATAACATCTAGCCCCTGCTTATTTGGCGGACCTGTAATAAATTATGCTAAACCATTATTATTCTGACAATAATAATTTCCCCGTCTAGTGCGGCTGCGTGTGCTAAATGTTTGCTGACTCGCACTGTCACTGCCGCTTTCCACGCTTGACAGCCGATGATGATAAATGGCCACCGCCGCCAGTGGCAGAAGGCTGCACGGGCAGAAAATGGAGTCATTTATCATCCGGCTGACGGGTGTCAGTCACTAGGGCTGTCTCGGTGGAATTACATTTTTTTTTTTCCTCTTGTCTAGCAGTTTTTAAATTAGTTGTTTTTTTTAAACAATGCTTTTTCCTCTCCTAACCTTTGTCCTGCTCCTCAGTGAGGCGTTTGCATGGAAATGTCAGCTTGAGGAACATGGGAATAGCATCATTGTTCGATCAGGAGAAGAGGGTAAAGGTGGGGTCTGTACAAGGCTACCTTTGCATACTTTGACCGCGCCATCACCCTCTCCGGGAAACTTATTGAAAATAAATCGCTTCGACCTAAGATCCCTCATGCTCATTCATAAGAACGAGTACGAAAGAGACGCCAAGGCTGAGTACGTCAGGCTTTATTTTATTCACTTGGACGGGGAAAACTTAAATCCTTCACTTTGTGACAAATTGAATGGAGTGTGAATTAACATCTTCTTGGGAGTAGCAGTCGTGATTTTCAGCTGAAATGGCATGTTATGCATTTGAACCTCCAAAGTCAATTTGTTTGAATTCAAACGATTTTTTTTCCCCCTGCACAGGAAATAATGGAAATATAAATCATCCATTCCAGGGTCTAACTGTCACCATTCAACAAAATCCATCCATTCATCCATTTCCTATTTACGGGTGGGCTATAGCTGACTTTGGGCAAGAGGCAAGATACATCCTGGATTGATCACTGCCCAATTGCTGGGCACGCATAGACAGTCATTCACTTTCTCACCTGGGCAATTTAAAGTATTAAATTAATGTAACATGCATGTTTTTGGAACGTGGGAGGAAGTGAGAGTACCTGAAAAAATATTTTTGTTGCGTCATTGGGCGTCGCCATTTAGAGTATATAAAACTGAAAAAAAAAATGTGCACTTGAATCTGTTACTTATCGTACTTTTCCCAAGAAATGTTTCATAGTCCAGCCAATAAAAAATACAATTTGATTAAAATGGTAAATGGACTGCACTTTTGTAGCACTTGATCGACAAAATACAGTGTCGAAAGCGCTTTACACCGCCTGATTCATTCGCTTATTTGAAGACCACCGTAGTATGTTTTGAATCTGAGTGTACATTTTTTGCAAAAATGTAAAAAGAAATTAGGGTAACCGTTGGAATATTCAACAAAAAAACAAATAGGTAAAATAGTATTCCTAATTTTATGTACCACAGTATTACGAATAGTAGTAGTGTTTTGAGTGGTTTCTAATGACATCTTTCTCCCATTCTCACCACAGAAACGAACCAAAAGGACAATTTCGAGGCACCACGCACCTGACGTCATTGAAAGCCACTACCAAAGGTACGGTGCTTCTGCTTTATGTCATTGCCCTGTTGGCCACGGGGAAATGGACTCCATTCGAGTACTCGGGAGTCAATCCAGACCGCTGCCTATTCCGTACTAAAAGGAATGCACTGTCGTAAGAAAAACAGTACATGTACTGTATTTGCATGACCGAAAGGCGCTCCTAAAACTCTTCAATTTTCTCCAAAATGGACGGTGCGCCTAAGAATGCACGTCACCTTGTGTATGGACCCAGTTCCAAAATCTGTGAATGTTGTTGTGTGACTTCGATGAAGGGTCCGCTTGACTGCCTGATGTTGTGCCGACACTCTATTTGTATTGAGGAAAGGCGGATGTAACTGAGGACAGCATGCGGATGTTGAAGTGGGAAGGGTGGGCATGACAGAAGGACGCTGAAGGCATGCCTCCAGTAGGTGTATTTAGTACAGGGGTCCCCAACCGCCGGTCCGCGGACCGGTACCGGTCCGCAGGGCATTTGGTAC